ACTTATGAGTGAGGAAGTATCTAGGAGACTGGTTATCAGTTGATCGCTTATCGCTTCAAAATGATGAATAATATAAATGTTGCAAATTTGCGCAAGTAGTTCTTGTGGGCCTGGAGATGACCACTCCCTTACCACCTTTTATCCCCAGTAGTGTTCATTTTGAAAAATAGGTTGAGAAACACATACCTGATCAACAAAGATCTGGAATTTGCTATCGTGAGCTCGGATACGGATGTCGATGTCGTCTCCTTTCTTGTAGGGATTGCTCTTTCTCTCTTCCTTTCCCCATTCTCCCTTTGCAAATGAATTACAGACGATCTGAAAGCAACCTTGATAGTCTGTGCCATATACATAGGTAGTGCATACGAGTTTCGTTTGGGAATCGCTTCGAAAATCGCGTTAATCTTCCAAGGCCAACGACCGGCACGCACGCGTATCGGCTGGCTGACACCCACTGTCACCTCTGATTTGCATCAGAATTTTTTCCCGTATATTCACACTTTCCTACTGCCACGTTGGGGCGACAGATGGGCAGAAATTTCCTTTGCAATTACCAAATGTAGCTGACCTTTCCTTCGTCGAAACGCACACTGACATGAAGGGGAACATCGTTCCCAGAGAAGTCAGCCGATGAGTTGTGTAGATTGATGGTGAAACTGAAAACAAGCAATTTCGTGCACTCAAAGCAGACAGTTGAGTTTGGAAAAAACAAATCTCGCCAGTTTTTTCATATGCCACCGTAAGCAAAAAGGTTAAAAGGAGATGGGTAAAATGAGAACGCGCCCAGGGTGGTATCTCCAATAGGGTACCTAGTGGAGTAGAATTTGTGGCAAACGGTTCACGAAGAAGTAAACTCCTACAGACAGCTTATGAGGGTGTCAGACAGCTTTTCACAAGAGAACCCCCAAACTGGGTTTTTGTGTTGAAATGAAAAAGTGGGCCAGGTAGAAGCGCCCTCCTGCTCGAGTTACCCTAGCAGTATCCCTACCTCGTTGTACAAGGTGGTGCAAAGAATCGGGAGTGAAAAGAATCTGTACGATGATGATAGACCTCCAGGATTGAAGCAAATAGCCATCCTTCAAAAGGGCAGTGGACTGTCTGTCTACGCGGGATTAGCGTTAGCTGCACTATTCTAGAGCCGCCTCTGAGCCAATTAGTTTGAACTACATTTAAAACCATTGAAAATCCACAATAGTGGAATAATCCCACCAGCTATGGACCGGCTAGCAGGAAAAATGTCAGATTTCCTCATGTCAGAAAAACAGGATCAGTAGAACTGATCCGTAGCATTTAGATACTTTTCACTATCATTGAACTTGTTATCCCAATTCCTATCGGTCCCTGTTATACCCTTCGATTTACCTACTCACTTTTCCCAGACTCACCAGGCTGACGCAAGATGGTTTTTCTCCCGACCTCTTTCAACGAATCAATATTTCATAATTACCTTCGTCAAAGCCTTTCAGTTTTCTACCGGCAAATTAGATTAGTGATAATTAAAAGCAATCCATCGAGAAATCCCCATTCCCTTCCGCAATATCATATATTCCCAAGACAACTTTTCCCTGGTATTTGTCGCAATTGGCCTGCATATGATGAAGGTGAAAAGAGATCCTTTCGGTATCGGGTGGGAATGATATATGTATGACTGTGGTGTGGGTGAGAGACATTTCTTGAACCCTTGGTCTATGTTAGAAGGTAATGAAAGACGATGTCGAAAACTTTTGTGTGAAGGTTCTCTCACCAAGCGCTTTCGATGTTTTAGACGCTCCGAATGGTGGGGAAGGTAATCGCAGGGTGGTTAAATGGTGTTCCATGAGGTGTTGACCTTACATTGTTTACTTGTTGTGCGGGTAGTAAACATGTCCTTTCGCCGCCTTGTGATGATGTTGCTAGCAACAAATTGCTGTTGTGTAATGTAGCACCTCACGACTGCACACTCCGACAATTGCCTGCTCCCTTCGTGGCCGTCGTCGATACCGGTTCCACCGCCTCACTGCTGCCACCGCATACCCACATAACAACCTACGACGACGGCGACGGCGAGAGCGACGAGCACATTCCACAAACACACAAACACGCCATTTTCCCGTAATCCAAGAATCAACCGGAAGAAATCGATAAGTAAACAAGTAGTAGAGAAAGGAACTTACCGGACGGAATCCTCGCCAGTCTTTCCCTTGACAGTGAGCGTCTGTCCAGGCTCAAACGGCTCGGTCAGTTTGCTTCGGTATGGAATAGGCTAGAACATCAACAAATAATACGGAGTAAAGCTGAACATTGCTTGAGGGGAATCGTGGCACAGCTAAGCCATGAGGAATCGCTCAGAAAGAGACTGCAGACGGAGAAGAACTGCTGGCTGCGCTGGTAATCGATCCCTTCTACTTAGCTGTCAAACTAAGGCCAAACTAAATTGAAAATCAATCTAAACTTGTAGAAGAGAACTCACATAGTTAGTCTCGAAGGCCATGGTGATTGCTTGAGGCTCCCTGGAAATAGTTGGATAGCACTGATTGTTTGGCACGGTTTTTCAAACGTGACACAAATGAGGTCTGAGCGAATGTAGAAAATGCAGAGAGGGGGAGTGGAAGGAGCCAACAAACAACAAGCTCCCTCTGACACTTATGAAACAACAAGAGAAGGAGAAAATTGCACAGCAATGGCTAGAGAGCTCTTCTGAGCAGTGTCCTTTCCTTAGTTCTAGGATCAAAGAACGAACGCCACTTCCGCAGCAGCTTTGCAGGAAGGATGCTGATTCATTGTACTTTTGAACCTGCTTTATTACAAAATGCAACATATTGCGGGTGACATTTGATGTATAGCCGCTGGTGACTTCGACGGTTGCATTTCATTTGGAGGCGTATCGGGGCGGAACCCAATTGATCGGTAAATAAACCCACAGACAAGGAGAGCAGGCGTCGATAAAAAGTTTCAAAGTCAGTGAGCGACTCATCCTAGACAGAGATACAGCGATCAACAGCCTAGATAGGCACGACTAGCAGAATAATGGGTCCGCCGGCCGTAAACGACTTGTTTTGGCTGGACCGAGGCATGAGCTTCGGCAAAAGCCCAGAAAAAGACCTGGAATTGAGTGACACGAAGAGCAGAAGACGAAACCGAAGAGATGCGGATGCGAGGACAATAAAACGAGCGTCCGCTGATCGCGAATTGGGCCACACAACTGCCACCCATCTCCCTTTCTCTCTTTCTCATTCGGCCGTGGCGTATATGCAAGTTTGAGAGAAATTAACTGGCTTTTCATCGGTTCCCAATTTAATGACCAATTTACAGGCTTGTACGCCTACTGTCCTGGTTGTAATCGCCGTCAAAAAAGGCCACTCTACAAATAGTTTCACTACAGGAGCGGAGCGTTTTCATAGAGGAACAAGAGCGCTGTCAGAGAAGAACACCTGAGCGTGATTGTTTCGGAGCAGAAATTGCAAGTTTCGTCCAGCTGTTAAGCTGCTCAGCAGCTCGGATGTGAATCGATCCTCTTGTTGCTGCAGAACCCCGCCTCGACAAGGGTTGGCATGTGAGGCGTTTAAAGGAAGTCATAGTCCATCAAAGAGCGTTGGAGGAGATGAAATGCGTCAAAGTGTCAGGGCAAGAAAGTTGGGCGACGGCCGATGGCATTGTATCGCCATTCCATCTGTGTAATACGCGAGACGATGACGGGGGAGTCGATGGGAAATTTGAGCGTAAGGAGGAGACTTACACTGCGCGACCACTACCGCAGGCCAGTGCGCTTCCAATAAATTTGGTTTTTGTCCACCTTGGGGTGGCAAACATTCGCATATTCATGGGAATGGAGGAACCATAGCTCTCGCGTCTATCGACTGTTTTCTCGAATGCAAATTGATAGCCTATTACAAGTACAAGTACAAGTACAAGAATAGACGATTTTTTATGGAAAGCTGTTTGAGAGCGACACGAACTCGGACTGCTTACGCGCTAAGTCGACGTGAAGATGTCAAATAGCGTGTCAGTTGCCAATGCGATGAGAAACACAATGAGCAATCGCAATCAGCGTTGCGAGACCCGCACATTTGGGGGCATTTGTCTCCTGGCTTAAATCGAATTTCATCTATACCCTTATGGAGAAATTCTTGCTGAGAAGTAAGGGAACAACTCCGAATGTAGGAATTGAAAGGTAGTTCTGCCCAAATTCGTCGCCGTGTACTCATAATTTGAGACTCTGGGCATTCTAAGCGACGTAGAAATGGGTTTGCTAGAAAGCAAAAGGAATATGTCATGCGACATCGGGTCAGTGTTGTGTGGCAAAGCAACGATGGAAAGCACTTCGCGCAACGATGAAAACAACCCTCCGCCTTTGCGAGTGTTTTGTTTTGTTTCCAGACATCGCTGCGAGGCTATTCTAGAAAACATAGTGGCTGCGGCAAAGGGTGAGGTTGTTTTTGACGTTCAGCAGGCCTACACCTTCATTTAGACGTACTAGTCGGTATCTACGCCCAATGACTGTTCAATCCGATACAATGAACATTTTTCTCAGTAAAAGTTTCTACTGACATCTGAGTAAATATTCCGATGACTGTCCTACAGTTCTGAGCTATCCCCAGATTTGTTGAAATGCTCCAGTACAGAACCTTGCACCCTAAGAGGCTGAACCCTCGAACACTCTGTCCCATATGGAGATAGGGGGACATCGGTTGGTGAATTTTTCCCAGTGGTAGACATGGAAAATTCCTATGACCTATGGGAGATTAATAGATACAGCTTTTTGTTAAAAGGCTGATATCGACATAAAATCGGCAACCTACACGTTTGATGCCTTTTAGCCAAACATTCCATTGACTGGAGCCATCATTATTAGCCCCACTCCAAAACCAAAGTAATAAAGTGGTCGTAAAGCAATGTTTAAACAGAGAACACGCAATACTGCCCTCGCTATGAAAACATGTTTTTATAAGAGTGATATCTACATTCTCTTCTGCAAACTTACGGTAAATAATGACGGCGACCACGCTGTATGTCCCATGTGAAACCGTTGTTTACCACTGCCTTCTCGATGGCTTTCGAATTGGATTTTCACAAAAAAAAGGTTTGTCACTGAGACAAGTAATCCATAGGGAAGCGAGAGGGGAACGTTGGATACGAGCATTTCGTCGTATGTGACAATTTTTGACACATGCAAAGTTTCTGGAACTTTTTCTTCCCTCGGAAACTTCTATCATACTTCAAAAGTGCAGTGCAGAGAAATGCAATTCCATGTTCCACCTAGTTCCCGATTTTTAAAATTGCAATCACTTCTTCACAGTTCATTCTATTTCTGCTCTTCCGAAACACTTAATTAGATGATTTCTGGTTCCATTCCCTAATGACGCGAGTCACAACTCTTAAGAAACAGGTTTATGAGAAGTAAGAGCAGGTAGAGGTTCTGGATGCTAGATGCTAGATGCTGCACATACGATTATCGGAATCAAATTCCTCTTGAAGTCCGTCTAAGTTCTTGCCTAACACGCTAACTTCAGCAGAGTTGGAAAAAGCCACTTGCTTTTCAATTCAGATAACCCAATGAACTCGAGTGGCTTCCTTTCGAGAGAACTAAAACTTCGGGGATTGTCGTGAAGGATCACAGCTAAATGAGTTTTCAGCTATCCCACTGATATCAGATGGGGTCTTGCCCATGAAGGGCGCTCAGAGCGAATACATAAGTTTGAGGGTCTATTGGCAGCCACTCACGGTTCAATGAAATCTAGCCTATCGAGTGTCTGTTAGGCATGCCAGTAGACCAAGCCCCTTTTACTGATCCGCTGGCGATTAAGCGATCGATGAAAAAGCATTGACATTGGTGGATTTCAGTTATACCTTACTAATGTAAGTGTTCACTGAAGGCTAGTGAGGTAGAGGCTCAGCTGACACTTCTATATAGCTTTGGAACCACATTACCCATGACCAACTAAATGGAAGACCTTGATGGTTTGAACAGGACTTGATGTAAACGAACCGTGAAGGTGGTACGCAGAGCTTTTTTTTCACTCCCATCTCTTCCTTGAAGCCGTTCAAACGAGTGATGACTAGGATCGTCCTCAAGAGTCAAGAGAAATGAAGACTCAGAAGATGCTACAACTAAATATTATACAAGCCAGCGATAATGTTGGGGAGGGAAATAGGTTTGACTAGTTAATTCTTCTGACGCCGGTGGCACTCTCTGAAGAATAAAGTCAAGCAGGGTCAACTGACTAGCATCAGTGAGATGCCTAGCCTTTTCATTTAGTGCCTGTCACGGCTACAACGAAAAAACTGCTTCCGGAGCGAGCCGATTCCGTGTGTTTTTATCAGATTCGGGTTTAAGGAAATTTCGGGAATTCGAAATAAAAAATGGGCGAGATACGATAATCCGAAGGAACGGCAGGAGAGTACGGCTATGTTTCAAAAACATTACAAAGAAGAAACTATCTGGTTATATCAGAATGTAGAGAACAGATGGTATAGTAGGAAGAGAAGTCGTTAGTGTTTGCACAGACAGCGGATCGAGTCGCATTCTCGCTGACTGATCTTTCAACATCCAAAAGTTCATTGCTCCCAGTTTTAAAGGGAGGCCTGGCTTCCCAATATTCAATCGCCACGGTGTGCTCCAATCTTGCTGCGATTCCCACTAAAAGTTGTGTGCATATGACTTTTTGGAAGAGCCGTTCAACGGAAGTGATCGGGAACGTTTTGGAATTGTGAAAATGGGGAAGAACAAGCTACGCATAGCTGCTGCAAATATTAGATTGTGGAGGGAAAGAGTTTATAGAAGCCACGATTTTCTCCCAACTCCGTGCATGTGAACAAGATCCAAACAAACCTCGACATTTTTTCACTCGGAGATTCCATTCTGGTCTACGCTAAAGGAGATCAATCGTGGTCTGCGGGAAAGCTCATTCAAAAACTTGGAAACAAGCCTAGGGTATATAAAGTATAGCTGACGAAAATAAGTATGTTTTGGCACGGAACAATACTGAAAGGTCTCGGATGGATTTCGACCAGCCACATATTGTTCTCCGATCTCGTAAAGATTGATGCATCCAAAGTGCACAAGTGTTTTTGACTGAAAATTCTGTCGGAAGGAGACTGAGCTGCCGCTGTCGACGATTCAACGAAACGATCCGGCTAAGCGAGAGATAACTAGAAACTGAGACGGAGAGATTCAAGAACAAAACTAGTCGGAACTTCATTACATGAAGTCTTTTGCCCTAGGAGAAATCCAATTTTTCCTTGAAAAAAAAACCGTGCCATTGATTGTGACTCTTCGTTCGAAATTTGCAGGACAAAATCGCATCTTCGAGCAAGTTTTCCCATCGTTCTCTGCCGTGTCGGCCACCCACCATTACGTATGGGCGCACCGTTGAATCGTCCAGGTCTCGACATTTCCTCCGCCGAAACAAAAAAAACAGCGACGACGAATTACCGACGGCGTGAGAGTACTTGTATTCCACCTTTTATCGATTCATTAGAACGAAGGCCAAA